TAGAAAGTTGTAATACAGAAGTTGACAAGGTAACCAACATGTGTGTGTGTGTGCGTGTGCATGCATCTTTGTATATTATTTTAATAATATAATTGTAAATTAACTTAATGATCTAGTATGCTAAACAAAGAATGGATACAGTTGGAGCAATATGCGTTGATAAAGAAGGAAATATTGCTGCAGCTTGTTCCAGTGGTGGCATAATTTTAAAATATCCTGGAAGAGTAGGACAAGTATAACACTTTTCATAAATATATTTAATTTTTTTCATTATTAACATGAATAATAAATACTTTATTGGATAATATATTGATATTATTTGATTGTAATTTTGAGGCTGGAATGTGGGGATGTGGCACATGGGCATACAAAGACCAATATTCCATAGGGACAAGTACTTCAGGTTGTGGAGAACATCTCATTCGGACTTCACTAGCACGAACAGTTGCAGAAGCCGTATCACGTAGTTCTTGTCCTATTACCAATTTGCATCACGCTATGAAAGCTAATTTTATCGGTGAAAACTCGTAACTACTTTCTTATTATTATTGATTATTAAACAATCTCTTTCCATGTTAAAAAATAAATGAATTAATGATTTTTATTATCATAAATATATAAAAAATTTTTTTAGATTCGAAATTTTTATGTGGACTTGAACAGAAACTTGGAGGTGTTATTGCTATTCGATATGCACCACAAGAAGGATTAGGAGATTTCCTTTGGAGTCATTCTACAAACTCAATGATAATAGGTTACATGAATTCAAATGAACGAACACCAATGGTATGTTCGTTCATTCTTCATTGTAAAAACAATGTACTATGTTTGAACTTTTTCAGAGTCACATGGCTGTCCTTCCATCTCATGAAGTTGGTAAAAAAGCAATTGTTGAAGGAATTTGTTTTAAAATTACATGAAATATTAATGAATGTATGACTCTGAGATTCAATATTGCTGCATAAGAACACAGCTTATTCACTATTGCCATGTAACACATGAAAACTAGAACAAAACTGCCTAATGAAGCAATTTTACGTATATAATTTTACATAAACAGCTTTATATATATAAAATAACAAAAACACAATTATAAACATACATATTTTGTTATATTTAAAAAAATAGAATGACAAATGAACGAATTCAAATTGATGGCTAAACATAGTATTATTTGTTTCATATTACTTGAAAATAAAACAAAGTATGACAAAATTTATTTAATTTGCAAGTTTAAAAAATCATAATAACATTTCATAT